ATATATCCGGAAGACTTTCATCTCTGCTTAACTCTAGTAACAAAGCCACCACGCATCACCACCACCAACAATATTTACCTTTGATTTGGGGATGAGGTAGAGCAGCCATAATGCATTCTAATTGGTTCACAGTTGAGGTTCCTGGGAATAGAGGTGCACCCAGTATCATTTCTCCAAGAAGACAACCAAGGCTCCAAATATCAACCACTTCTGTATACCTGGAGAGTTACGATATTTGTCACTATTTTGTAGATAATATTCTAGTGCCAACAATTTATTATATTTAATCAGCAAAATGTTGATTCACACATCACAATCCTTATAATATGTTTATTTTTCATTGAACATTAGATAACAGTGCAGAGAAAAATGAAGGTAGGTAAATAGATTTAAAAATGTATTTTGTATTACACTGCACCATACCATTCTCAAAACAGATAATATTTATAATGAATTCTATTAAATCAAGAATACTTTCATGTCTGTTCTTTTGGCGAATATGTGTTGTCCCCCCCCTTCTTATAGCATATATACCTCCCATAAGGCTTACAGATTACAGACCAAAGTCCTTGGTTTTAATATACTAGGAAATTAACCAGGGTGTCAATTTTTGGCAGGGAAGGGGGAATGCAATGGAGTACCCCAAATTTGGGGGAATGACAGTTTCTGAGAGACATTTCTAATCAGGCTGGATTAACACACATAAAAATTACACCGTAGAGCAAGGACCCTAGCTAAAGTAGGCGGCCCACACAAGGTTAGAATTCTTTGCCCCTCCCAAGCCTTTTGTTAGATCATGCTCCTGAAATTAGTAAATGTAGTTGATTTATAAGTAACACATCAAATTGATTTTTTATATTATTTAATATTCTTTATAGAGTTATTATTCATTTACACCATATATTGTATATACCAACTATTCATTTTTAATGCACTTCTGAACTTATAAACTGTTTAATTTGTAGTTACTGAGAACTTTTGTATAATTCTATATATAATTATATACTTTTAATATTATCTAAATCATAAAATAAGCTCCAATTTCTCAAAAAAACTTTCCATAGATAATAAATTTTCATAATACTATCCATAAAATAAAATAACCCTCACTTTTCCACAAACAATATATTATTTCCGGGTACTGCACAACACTGTATGCACTTTAAAAGTTTGTGTTCTAAAACAGTCTCAGTTGAACTTATTAGACTGATAACAATGTACATTTTCAAAGGAAGTATTTACACGGTTTGTAAGAATTTTGAAATGGACAAGAGAACACTCCCTGGTCATAATAATCGAAACATTGGTGGGTACTTAGGGGTATTAACCCCTGCACATTAAGTTATTTTTTTAGTAACAGCATCAAGTGAGAGACACAATAAGCTAAGTGTTCCTACACTTATTAGTTGTTCATAAACAATTAGATTGATATTTTGAGAAACTGTTATTCAAAACATTCTCTGAAGAGGTTACAGCTTATGTATATGAGGATATTGATGTGGATTTGGTGCATCTAAATTTTAAGAAAGCATCTGTATGTGCATACAATCAACCACATGCTAGGGTCATGTCAATTAATAGGGAGGATATCATACAGATCACAGGTCATGAAATATGATACCATGCATACACACACAGCTGCCAGGCTCTGTCCCACTGAAAATTTGAAAAAAAGCAGACCACTATATAATGTACTGTTTTGATAATTAAGAAACTTGTGTTTTTAAACTCAGAAATCAATAGCAACTACACAGATCTGTCAGTTGCATAAATACTTCATTTCTTGGATACCTTGAATATTAAGTTATATTATTTTTTACTTAGTTATTCTTTCTGAAATTGTTTTGGCAGATATCATTTTTGTGCAATGAAAAATCACACACAATCCTTATATAGGAACAATTTGTTCTGCCATCTAGCGACCAGAAATGAAAACTGATATTTATGAAACATGGAAACAATATATGCTAACTCACTGCTAAGTAGTAGTTTTCCTTTTTATTATTTCCCAACAAAAATATGTGTGGTAGAAGAACAGAATAATATTACTGTTATACAAGCTGTGAAACACTATAATGGCAATTAGGTGCTCAAATAAGGTTATATCTCAACCTTAGCAGTTATTTGTCAGCATCATAAAGTAACAAATTGAAAGCCACAGTCCATCCCTACATATTAAGCACTACTGTACTTAGTGAAAGTCAAACTAAGGAATATATAATAGATATACATGTGCTGATGATGATATTTCCCAGCAGTTTTCTTCCTCATCTAGTCTTATAGCCATGCTCTTAAAGTTCTTGATTATTTTAATTATTTACATATTTTCCCTTTATGATTAACAGAAAAACAGTTGATGTTTTAGAACTTTTCAGGTGTCATACTTAAAACAATGTCTTATTATCTAAAGCAAATTTCAGCAATCTACTCTCCATTGTTTTAAAGTTTACATACAGATTACAAGCACGAACTATAAGCAAAGGCACTAAACTTACTGTTTTACACCTAATAAAATTTCAGGAGCTCGATACCACCTTGTAGCAACATACTCTGTTAATGCAGGGTCACAGTCGTCCAACTGACACTGTAAAACTGACCGAGCTAGTCCAAAGTCAGCCAATTTTGCTCTTCCCTCTGTATCTAGTAAGATGTTCGATGGCTGTGCATGAAGTACAAAACAAATACAAGTAGCCAATAGATCATATATATGTTTAAAACTTCTGAATCCAAACATTTAAATAACCGTTACCAACTAGCTATGTGTACATATATATATATATATATTCCCTCCAAGGCTCTTAAACTTCCTACAAAAAGTATAATTTAAAAAAAATACACATATTAGACGAGAACATTTTCCAACTAAAATATTCCTCTGAAAAAATAATATTTATCTGAATTTAAAGATTCTTTCTTTATTCTTTCCTTGACTTTTCCAATTACTGATTCTACTCTTCCAACACTTTTACTTTATTACACAAATTAATCACGTTTTAGTTATAAAACTGGTTTTATACTGTCTATTAAAAAGCTCTTCAAAAAAATAATTTTTTTGTATTTATCAAATGGAAGTTAGTATAATTTTGTAATGATAGTAATTATCACTATAGATCTGTTCCACATATGAACATTCTAACATTTATGTTATTTAAAAAAATCAAATGAACTATAAACCTTTTCATTAAGGATATATTTTTAATTACATACCTTAAGATCTCGATGAATAACTTGAGCTGTATGTAGGTATTTCAGAGCACATAAAAGCTGATAGGTGATAAATCGGATCTGATGGTCCCTGCCAAACATACCTTTCTTGATGGCTCTGTGCAAATCCGTATCTGACAGCAACAATAAAAAAATTTTCACTTCTCAAACGCAAGTAATTAAAAATTAATGTGTCAACATGCTGATTATAGGATATCATAAACCAACATTCTTAACTGTCATTTTTTTTCTTTCTCGTTGGATGTTTTCAAAAGCTAAGTTAATGACTAAATTTTTTATAACAATTACCAATACTTTTTACTATTGAAGATAACATTAGATATCAGGTTTTGTTTTATGCTACTTCTTAAGAAACTGTAAGATTACTCTTCCTTATAAAACTCATTTTCATGATATCACGACAAATTAAAAGGTATAACACATAATAAATGAACTTAAAAGAATAACTGAAAACAAGATGTTATGTTCCTCAAATAAACAATAAGTCACTTATTTGGTGACAAATAAGATAATAAAATTTAGTGACTTGTAATAATGGTATTAAAGGCTTATATATATATATACTGCATTTTAAGCTCCATTAAGGAGTTGCTGAAGGTGATTACTTGAGCAATGATGATGCATACTTTATGCTGAAAAAGGAGTCCTCTTCGAAGACACTGACTCGTATCTTTCTTGTTTACTACACATAGTGAGCAACCAGTCGTGCATGTTACTTTACAAGCTGATCATTATACTTCACAGCATCTGTACCCAAGACTATATTACTAATGTTTGTTTTATTTTCAACAATAAAAGATAAAAGTATGACTGTGAATTCTTCAATGCAGTTTTGTTTCTTAATAATATATCTGTGTTCAATAATCCAGGGCAAGGATTAGTGTGTCAAGAGAAAATGGTTTAAATCATTAACAGCAGTATTAGATAACACTTATAGGTTTTACAGTTGAAATTTTCACTGACTAATTAGTGTCGTTTTTAAATTCCTTATGTATTTTGACAGATTCAGTCTTTTTCAACTTTGTTAGATCATTATTATGAAATCTAATGAAGTCAAGACACTATAGCTAAGCACTGGAACTGGGAAGGCTAGAGGGGATAAAGACCCGATTAATGAATGTGATATCCTGCTATTTCTTAAATTCAGACAGGTTTTTAGTTTTATTTTCCAGGCCAAAACAAATACTGCCCTTTAAAAACCTGGAGAGGTTTAGTCCACTTCAGCCTCTCCAGTTCCTTTGTGCATGTTTTACAATTGCTGAAAGAAGTGTTATCATGTTGTAACATGTCTTACAGAGAATCATTTTATCTTTTCAAGAAAAACTTGTGTAACATTATAATAAACATTTCACAACCCACATCATTCAATTACTCACTTCAGATTTAAAATAAAGACACTCACCCATAAACTCAAACACCAAATATATATCACAATTGTTTTCTGCTTTTATGACATCCAACAAAGCAATGATATTAGGATGAGTCTTGAATTTCTGAAGAAACCAAATTTCTCTAAATGTACGCTGAAAAATATCATAAATACACTTATTATAAATTAAACCATTGTACTTATCTGATTACATTACTAAAATTATTTTACGTGTGTGGAAAAATAGGTTTTGTTAGGTGGAGGAAACAGGAGTTTATAGTAAATATTTCAGTTTCTTTACATTTTTACATGAAATTTATAAAATTTACAATAAGTGTAATCCCCCATAATTTCATTATACTTTTTCCAACTTCAAAGTGAATAAATGTTTTGAATGGTGTGATCAATTGTTGAACACTCAAAAGATCTTTAACTTTTGTTCTTTTCAATAGTTAGTTAAAGAAAACACATAAATATGTCATCCTAGAAACAATTAAAATAATTATGATTTAATCAAATTTAATTATCGCTCTCGACAACAAAACTGTTTTTTAAAAGTGGCTTATGACAAAAACTTCCTTTAAATAAATATAACATTTGTATAAACTGTTTTACTTCATGAGAAAATCTCTCAAACTACTGATCCTCAGAACATTAATCAAATTGATTTCATTAAGTTTACTCAACAACTTTAAAAACTAATATTAAAAGAGCTCACGTTAAAATTCAGTGCAGCATCCCTTGACATACTTAAAATGGATAAAATCAAACCTTACAAAACCAATAATTACTTGAAATAAAACAGAAATCTTTAATATCATGATCCACTATCTTCTTGGAATCCCTTTATTTTTAAAAACTTTGTAAAGAGCTTGATACAGCATCTAAGGTTGGAGGAAGGGTTTCAAGTTAATGTGTATCCGGTACGACTCTTCAACATAAGCCTATTATTCCACTACAAGTTATTTGATGCAGTAGACTTTTATTGATAGCTTAAATGCAGGATATGTGAATGTATACTCTTATTTTTTAAATGTGAGTTTTAACATATTTTTCAAATAGCGGGAAGTTTATTGTTAATAAAGCTCCTCGATTAGTGGCTGACAATTCAGTTTAGTATCTTCCCATGGAGATACACGGGAGGCTCACGTTTACGGTACATTGGTAATGTAGATAACTTTCAAGGTATAAAATATATTTTATAGATCAAAGATAAAACTGGATGCCCATGTTAACACTTTTTAATATATCCCAATTCCTGCTCCAGTCACGCTAAAAATAAATATACATTAATTAGGTAGATAAATATTGCTTTATCAAAATTCTTACTACAGAATAAAAATACACCGTAGCTAGTTATATCATGATCTAGGTATAGCATGTATTAAACAGAAGTAACAAATGAAACCCTGAGAAATTCAATGACTTCTATGTTGTTATTTTCTGTAATATCTCCTGCCACATTACTGTATCTTGTTTGTTTTTAAACAAGTGAAAAGCACGTTCAACAGTTAATGTACTTTCAAGTACATGCATAATATAACCAGACAAAATATTTTATAAAATAAAAACAGGTTGTTTATTTTTAAACAGACCAGTTTCCTTTATTCAACTGATACTTCTTATTGCGCACTGTAAAAATTGTTTCAATATATTTCCTTAAAATTGTGACAGATTCTAATTTTTTCGATTATAAAAAATTTTAAATAACGGCTAAAAGAAAGGAATGAAAAGGTAGTTTAATATTTTTTCACAACAATCAATGCTTACCATTCACTGTTGTCATTACAAAACTAAGATTACATAAGTTACATTGGAATACCTTACATACGCTTAAGTTTTACACCTTCTTCTCCTTTAGTAGAAAAATCATAGTTGCAATAAATGTCTACTTTATGTAAATAATACAAGTTGTCTGGAGCATCATATAACACTTGTTTTAGCAAAGCTCATAGCTTCGTACACAGGCTAGTCAAATCAGATCATGTGGTCAAGTTACTGTAACAGACTAGCCATATCAGATTATGTGGTTGAGTTACTGTTACAGATTAGTCATATCAGATCATGTGGTTGAGTTACTGTTACAGATTAGCCATATCAGATCATGTGGTTGAGTTACTGTTACAGATTAGCCATATCAGACTATGTGGTTGAGTTACTGTTACAGATTAGCCATATCAGATTATGTGGTTGAGTTACTGTTACAGATTAGCCATATCAGATCATGTGGTTGAGTTACTGTTACAGATTAGCCATATCAGATTATGTGATTGAGTTACTGTTACAGATTAGCCATATCAGATCATGTGGTCAAGTTTCTGTTACAGATTAGCCATATCAGATCATGTGGTTGAGTTACTGTTTCAGATTATGTGGTTGAGTTACTGTTACAAATTAGCCATATCAGATCATGTGGTCAAGTTTCTGTTACAAGCAAGTCAAAGCAGATCATGTGGTCAAGTTTCTGTTACAAGCAAGTCAAAGCAGATCATGTGGTCAAGTTTCTGTTACAAGCAAGTCAAAGCAGATCATGTGGTCATGTTTCTGTTACAAGCAAGTCAAAGCAGATCATGTGATCAAGTTTCTATTACAGCCAAGTCAAATCAAAGAAGCTCTATAAAGAAAATAACCATAAAACAAAACATACATTTGTATTTTTCAAGTAGTTCAACAGGGTGAATGATAAATAATATCAAGGATAATAACAGTGCATAGTTTCCACAGTATTTTAGCAAGCTCTCTGTTCATCAGTACAGTATATTTCAACATTCACTACCCACCCACAAGAACAACATGAATACCTTATTTATCTGTCTTACCTGAGCATCTGTCTGGTTACGAAAGGCATCAAATATTTTTTTTACTGCTACCATCTGATTTGTTTTAGCATCTACAGCTTTCCACACGATGCCATACGCCTTAAAAAGTTTGACACAAAAAATTCATGGTATAATTATGCTATTTTTATTAGATTTTATTGTTAAAAATAGTTACACTTTATCAAAAGCAACAAAGGAAATTATTGATAGAAAGCTTTGTTAACTCAAAAAACAAAAATATGGTTTTAAAAAAAAGGGGGACAAGAGATAACTTTCAATATCTGCATCATTACACACAACAATGCTACTTGACTGACTTAAAGAAACTTATCATTTTCACACACTAATTCATTTCCAATTTCTCTCCATAACATTTTGAAAGGATCTACTAAAACTATATAGAAATTAAAAATAATATCTTGTCTTTGTATCCAACATTCTTCAAATTCTACAGACTAATCATCAACACAACTGGGTGATTAACTTGATTAATCAATATGAGTTGTTGCCTTTGAGCATTGATTACATCGACTATTGTCATCTAACTAATTAAACCAATTAATGTCACAAAAATAATCAACAAATCAAAATCAGTGTTTCAATTATTACTGTTTCCAATAATTCTGACTATCTGAGTCTCATATGAGAATAATCAATTAATTCAATGTCATCAATTAATGAGCCCAATAATTAATCGATTAGCAAATTCCACTAATCTTCTAGTTCTATTCTTCAACCCTGAACTTTTTCAACTAATATTAAATTACTTGAAAACTTGAAACTTATCCATCAAGCACGGGTTGTTCCACTTCTGCAACTTCTTAATCACAACAAATATAATACCTAGGATTCACATAAAGCCATGATGTCTGAAAATCAATCATTGCTACTCAAATTTATTTAAGTATTTTAATCCATAAACCAGTTGTAATAGGAAATTTTATATAAAATCAATTTAGTCTACCTATTTATTTACCTACAATCTAACACCAAATGCAAGTAGGAATGACTGATGTTCCAAATTTGTAATTATAAATAAACCATTAGGTATTCACTTCATGTGATACAAATCTGACATGATATGCTATTTCCAGCATTACAAACATGAAGACAAGTATTGTAAACTATAAATAAGGGAGATGAAAGTTACAACCACACCATTATTTAAGTACAGTTAGTGGTGATAACACAGATATGTGAAAATAAAGAGCAAGAAGTTATGCTATATTGGTTAACAATGTTCCAAAACCTGAGTCTTTTGGAAACACTGGTATTAACTTGAATCATGTAGATATTAATCCCTTGGTAGTAAATAAAAAGACTGAGAGATTAAAAATGGATGAAGTACCAAACCAGAATTTTTTTTCCCAATGTTATAAAATAATTCAAAAGTCATATAAGCAAGCCCTCCATGTTTCCTTTTTGATAGGTCACTTGACAGTGGGCAGGTGCCTGAGGATTGAAGAACTGTTAATGTTACTATTATTTCTAAAGATAGTAAGCTATATCTCCTAACTTTATCTTTTGAGAAAAGTAGGGAAATATTATCTGGCAGATTGATAGGATAAAATACTCTGATTTCTTATACGTTACCATAGGCAGTATTAGAGGCCAACACCTCAAAAGAGTTTAAGAGGGGTACTGATGATTACCTAAAAATAAAGGAAGGGTTTGAATTTTGTTAAGTAATAATTTTTGTCAATGCTTTTGTGATAGTTGTTTGTATGAATGTCTGTGCATATCTATGTGTAACTATATATATAGTGTGTAGTTATGGTAATTGTAATGTACTCTATAGATGTGTATTTTTGTACATTTTTCCTTTCAGTGTCTTTCAATTTATACTGACAACTACTCTTTCAACCTTTCTCAAGTCTTTAAACTCCTTTTTGGTCCTTAACTTCCCCTCTACTTTGTGTTTAATAGTTGGCTTTGTAACATGATTACATTTCAAAACCATGTTCTTTTTAGGCAAACGACTCTATAACTGCTATATTTTTCCTATTCTATCACAACCATCAAAATGTTTAATAATTCAAACAGGTTATCATACGTTTGTTATATATGCAGGTTATCATATGTTTGAGTTATATGTGCAGGTTATCAAGTTGCTTACACTCCAATTTAAATTAAAAATTTAATTCTGTCTTAAAAAAATATAGTTTGGAGTTGAATTTTTATATCATGTATTGTTTGACTTGTAAACTGCTTAAAAAAAAGGTAAACATCCTTTAAGTCACTGATCATGTGAACCCTCTCCAGCAATTTAAGTTTCTTAAATAAGGTAACCAAAACTGAACACAACCAGCAACTTATAAGTTTAATTGATCCTCAGTATCCGTTATTGGTGAAATATGGAGTAACAATGCAAATCATTAATTTCATATTTTGTGTATTTATTAACTCATTACAGTGTAATACACTGTAATGCAAAGCTTCACATATAAATTTTCAGTTCTTCTTGTATCATTTTCAAATTCAAATTATCGTTCATTACAATAAACATCAAGAAATTACCCATAGTAACTGGCATAGGAAAAGTAGGCTAAATATTGAGTGCAAATTTGTTAAGACTTGGAGATAAATGACTTAGCAATAAATGGTGAAAGGTCTTCTATGCCTATGGTTACCAGACCTTGCAGTAAACTGAGATTGTCCCAGTTTTTAGCATTGATTTTTTATGTCCCAATAACAAACAGTAAAAGCATTAAATTATCAAGTTTCTCTGAACTTCAATATGAATTTGGTATATACAGTTTTCATTATATATGGCTCCTTTAAATTTTACTTGGATATTCACTTGACAAAGAAAGAGCATACATTTTCTTAACCTAAATTCTCATTCAACAGCCATAAGAATTGAGATTTGAAGACCTTCCCAGCTATGGAAACAAAAACAAAGAAGCAACATTTTTCTTTTGAGTACATTCAAGACAACTGATGAATGTTATTTATTTATCATTTTTTTAACTAGATAAAAGTTTTAATAAATTTTGTTTGTGTACGATTTTAAAACATGATGCAATAAGCATCAGATTAATTAGCAATGATAATAACCGTGTTAGTCATTTTAATTGTTTCACTCCATATGGAAACAATAATGTGTTTTTTGCTCTGGCAATATGGTACAGTGGTTGCCCTAGTTATACCTTAAGTCAGTTAAGGCTTAAGTTATTTGGTACATAGTTAATGATAAATTGTGATATTTCCTATATATATCAAATGTTTAATAATTATTTGAAACTTAAGTCTTAAGGCTAAGCTATTTTTTATAACTTACCTACACTTTTAACTGTGTCTATTAAACCCATGGCATGAAACTATGGATCTACTGAATGGTATACTATTACTAATTATATTATTATATTCTTAATCTAACTTAGTACGAGTGACCAAGAACCTGAGGAAGCAAGCATAACACTAACAGTTGCATGTAACATCTTTAACATTTCACATATATTTGTATATTCCACTGTTCACAGACTACGTGTTTTACAGAATAGCTTCAGAACAACTAAGAACTATTAATCAAAACTTGCTTACTCCTTTTCCTAAGCGTTTTTTCACATCGTATCTTTCACATATACGAGATTCTATTTCACTCATCTTTAAAGTTTGATACATCAACAGCGAACAATACGACTACAGTGCCACTTGTGGTAAAAATAAAGTAAGAAATTGGTGGGAAAAGGTGTTTAACTAGCATTTTATATAAAATGACAAAACATATGTATAGTGGATTATTTTCCTCTTCAAATATTATTAATAACGAGGAGAAATTACAGTATGGCTATTAGCTGTTAATTTTTTACATCAAGGTCTTTTAAAATTTGATTATACGCAAAGCGATAGATATTAAATGCTCTATTAAATGAAAACAATATGAACCGATTACATTCACACAAATGCAAAATTTATGGTCTAATTATTTCTATTGATAGAGTTTTTCAGTTTTATCATACGTAAACTTACCCTTTTAATAATCTGACTGTTCAGAAAAGTGAAAAGCTTTGGATGTTCGTATATGGACACGCTTTTGAATTGTTTGTATCATATGAAATCAAAGTTTTGATTGTTTGTATAGGAATGCTCTTTTGAATAGTTTTTATTATATAAAAAGTTTCGCATTTTTGTATAGGGACACGCTTTTGAATAGTTTCTATTATATAAAAAGTTTTGAATATTTGTTTAAGGAAACCTTTTGAACATTTTGTATTTTATAAAAAGTTTTGAACGTTTGTATTGGGACACGCTTTTGAATAGTTTCTATTGTTACGTCTCCGTTTCTTAATCAACTTCCCGTAACTTCGTTCCGACGAAACTTTAGCGACACAAGTATTTACTTAAAAAAACTGGTTTATTCTTTCCGAATATAACTTTACCGATACACTCAACTTCAACAATCGCGCTAAACAAACGCTATAACAACGAACGTTAATAATACTTCTGACTGCAGTTCAATTACTCACTATCTACACAGACATTACCTTCCCCTCGCG